GCTGGCATCTCCTTCTCCTAACTACTCCACGCCAACGTGAGAACTTTGAACCGCTACAGATTTAACGTGCATCAGCTAGTCTACAAGGCGGATCTTCATTGGTACTGAGGCTCGAGCTCTTGACACGCCGGCCACGAGTTCATGAACATAGCCATTAGGCTACCGCGACCACAACACTTTACATATTTGCCTGACAGTTATGGTATCAGAGCAAATTTAAATAAGATAAAAAAAATAACCAAAACTGTAATATAAATTGAAAATTCGGAAATTTTAACCTTTAATTTAAATTAAAGCACACTAACTTAATTTTTAATCGACTATTTTATATCATGTACCAGATCAGCATTAAAATTCTGTTGGAGAAACTCTATTCCTAGGGGAATCAAGACATTAACATAAAAAGTGGTACTACTGGAATATGACAAAAAAACGTAAAATTATTCATTAGCAGCTTAATATATTAAACAAGTATAAGAAAAATTTTAAGTCAATTCCTACTTAGGTCAATAAAGAAAAAAATTATTTTAATTAATTTTTATTAAATAATTACAATTAATATAAATATGTTTATACATGTGACGTAATCACAATATTAAGTGGCAAAATAGCAAGCGATTTTCCATTTTCCTTTCTATATATGGCGTTGGACTATTATTTTTGTTTGTTATTATTTATTCATTAATTTAATAGAATTAATGAATTAATATTTGAAAGAACTGTATTAACATCAAATGCCTTCCACCACAAGTTTAAAAAAGTGTATTTGAACTTGAGTGGATGAATAAAAAGTACTTCATTAACAATTGAAAATTTGAGCAAGATATATGATTTTATAAATAAATATAGGGAGAGTGAACTAATAGTAGGAATTGGAAAAAAAAAGTTTAATATATTATATAAATTAATCTTGTAAAACAAACATTCAAATCACATCACAATTCCTAGAAAAATTTATTGGTTACGAATCACAAGTAATCGCTTTATCTTATACCATTTATAAAAGTATATTTTGTACAGCAATCTGCAGTGTCTGGATTTTCTTTTCTTTTTGAACCATAGGATATTTCCAATGCAGGCATTGTAAGATCCACATCTTTTTTTCGATCTCATCCTCGACGAGGAAAATCGATTAATCACGTAGGAAATAAGACCACATCTTCAACCTATAAATGTACCAGAGGTACACCAGGAAAAGCAAAACTACCATATGATTGTTTTACCATTTTATATATACAATACCATTGTATGCAGAACTAAAACATAATCCAAGTGACAACAATTGAGAAGAAAAAAAATCTGTGACAAGTCACGATTAATGGTTGTGACAATGCAACAAAGATAGGGTAGTGACCAAACCTCTGATCACACCATTACTAACAGTAAAAGGTTATTTAACTCAAATGAGTGGGTGTAGCGGAATTGTTAAGGTTGTTGAAGACATTCAAACCTGCAGTTACGCTTACCACCAAATGAAAGGAAAAGAATCTTTCTTTTCTTGAATGGGAAATGTATTGTCTGTGGCCTACTTTACATTTGTTATAATTCAAAATCGATTTTACCTAAGTTACATTGTATAGTGAGCCAAATAGAAAGTGTTCTTCGTTCTTCCTAGCTCTGAACTTAAAACAAGTCAGATTTATATACAGATGTGGTTGTCATTATTTCCGGCAAGTTAAAATGTCACATACATTTTTTTACCTAAATAATCAAAAGGAAATTTTTTATAATACTTTAATATATATTTGTAATTCAATTTTACTTCATTCTAAAATTTGTTCAGTTTAAAAGTAAAATTTACAGCATATAAATCCAATGAGCTTTTTAAAATTTTCGTAAAATTTTATGACGGAAAAAAAATTTAATTATAAAGAACTATGTTAATACATAAATTTTTAAGTGAAACTTTTTACAATACATCGCATTTTAAATATAATTATAGATCGTATTATTTATTAAAATCAGTAGCGCACACAAAAAATTTTTTCAAGGGGGGAGTCCATGGTCAAAAGTCCCCCAACTCGTATCGTACCTCAAGACAACACCAATTGATTCTCTTGATTTTGTTAACAAAAAACAGTAACAAATAAATTATTGAATTAATAATTAGCATTAATAAAATAAATTGTTGATTAAAAGAAATTTTACGTTTCATATATAGGATTACCATCAATCGAAAACTCCTCAAGGACTTTGGGGGGGGGTGTCCGGACCCCCAGGACAACCCCTTGTGCGCGGCACTAATTAAAATCATTACTATTTTAAATTTCATGGATTAGATTATCCTGTTTGTTAAAATATAACGCGCCATATTTTTGTAATCTGAAATCCCATTTTAAAAATTACATAGTGAATGATAAAAGAATTGTATTATCACTTAAATGCATCTTTTTAACATTCAGATACCCAGTGGAATTACGAGGTATGATTTAAGCATCAATTGATATAAATCCATTCATGAAATGGAAAAAAAATAGTATCTATGATTTAACGCTAAATAAAGGTATCCTAAAAAGTTAAAGCAAATGGATTTGATTAGATAAAACGAGTATAGATAGTAAATAAAAACTGAAGTTCCAGAGAAACGCATTTCTTTACATCACACTAAAAAAGTTACATTAAAAAAAAACCACCATTTTAAAAATGAATCAGTACAATTAGTAATCATTAAATGCAAATATTTCACAATATTTTTTTAAGATACTAAATATTATTACTAAAAAACATGAATCGTATTATCTTTAAAAGAAACATTTAAAAATTTTAATAAGAGTGCTTTTGTGATAAAATGTGTGTTTTTACATTAATTTTAATTTTCTACTATGTAAAAAATCTTTCGTTTTAAAAAAATGTAATCGTTTACAAAGTGTTAATACATCGTATAACCTTGATATGTAAGCAGAATTTGTGAGACTTCAGGAACTTTTTGAAAAACATTTAGAACTTCTATGTAATGAAATCGAAGAATTTTTTTTACATGCATTCCAATAAAAATTCTTAATATCTAAATATTGCTTCAGTTAATATTTATGAGAATTGAAAAATATTGTTTGAGTTCGGTTGATTAGATGAGATTTGGGAGGGCTGGAAGTTTCCAAAGTAGCAGAATTATTTACTAATCTCCCTGAGGTCGAGTAGATATGATCGTATAAACTTATGATCACACATCCCTGTTTCTGTCAAATTCTGTATTCGAGTCCTGATACTATTAAAGACCCGCGTAGATTGTCTTTACGCAGATGCATGTTGAGATCCGTAGAAGCTGGAAGACTTCTCAATGGCATCTGTAGTGGAATTTAATTTATTAACATTACTTTTTGAAGCAAACCGATGGCCACTGGAGATTATCTCGAAATTTTCAACATCGGTCAAGTGACGAAGACGACACCCTGAGCTGGTACTCCACTCTCCAAACCCCACAAACGTGAGGACTTTGAACTTTCCTACATTTATTATGCATCACCCCCACTACGTGGTGGGTCTTCAGTGACAACAAGACTCGAACCCAAGCTTCAACATAGCCGGACAGACATTTTTTATGAGTGAGTGAATATTAACGTCGCACTGTTCAGCTACACGAAGGCTTTTGGCGACGGACCTCGTAATTTTGAACCATGGTCAAGTGGACGAGGATGACACCTGAGCTGGCACCCTCTCCCCGAACTACCATACCACACCAATGGGAGGACGTTTGAGCTATCGATAGATTTTAACGTGCATCACTTCCTTACATGGCGGGTCTTTAGTGGTGCTGGCTCGAACTCATGACATGCCTGCCATGATCCGATACTTTGACCACTAGGCTACCACGGCCCCTCCTTAATTTGTCAACTCTGTTTTAAAAAAACTTGATAATTTGAATGTTTCAATTTTTAGAAATGGAACTCAATTAAAAACTCAAAAAACTGTTTTAACGGAACCAAGGTGAAGGATATAGAATGCAGAAAACATGCTTTGATGCTCCTGTTCTTTTAATAAGTAAAACTATATCCCAGAAAGTTAAACAAAACATCCAACTACTAAAGTTCCACCTAATTTTAAAATGTACAACGCGGAAGTTTGACTTATGTGAGAATATTCAGCAGAAAGTTTCCAGCAATTTTTTCTTCCATCTCGTTTCTCCACATTTAATCAAGTGGATCAGTTCTCTGCAAAGTTCTTCGACTACCAAATTCCTAAAGAATAACGCAGGTAGGGAAGGTAAAAAGAAATTGACTAATACGTGCAGAGGCTCCCCAGATTAATAATTTCATAAGACCGGGGATCTCTCCAGGGTGTCTAAATTTCATTCTTTCAGTCGAAAAAATAATTTCCGGAACGGAAGTTTGCGGACTTTCCAAGTCTTCACGCGCCTTCTTAAGCGGGAAGGGAAAAAAAGAACAGGATGGGAAAAAAGAATAAAAAAAAATCCCTTTCGTAAACAGGAAGCGTGGTTTGAGTTTCGGGATAAAAACAGGAAAAATATTAAGAAAAAGGCTCCGAAGAATCAATAGCCCCTCCGACGAAAAAGCAATTTCTGCACGAACACGCGACTTCAGTTCTGCCCCTTCACTCATTCCTCGTCAATCCTCATCCATCATTGGCTACTGACAAGCATCGATCAAAACAAATCCGGATTCAGGTTTGTTATTTTCGTTTTGGCTTTCGTTTCTCTCCCTCGCGCTTTTTCTACCCCTCCTCTTTTTCAAACAATCGCTAATAGAAGTAATATAAGAAACGATTCAAGCGAATTGATAAATTTATGGGCTTTTTTTTATTCAATTCATTTTTTTCGTTCACACACTTTCCCTATATATATTTATAAAAATATTTTGCTCAAATTTTCAATCGTTAATAAAATACTTTTTATTCATCCACTCAAGTTCAAATACATTTAAAACTTGTAGTGGATGACACTTGATGTTACAAGTTTTTTCAAATATTAATTTATTTATTAATGAATAATTAGTAACAAACAAAAATAGTCAACGTCATATATAAAAATGAAAATTACTCGTTGCGTCTCAGTAACGCAAGGGAAAGCGCGTTGGACTTTTAATCCATAAGTCGTGGGTTCGAATCCCACCTGGGATAGCCTAATTTATGAGAAAGTGATTTCTTTTACTATAGTATTTTATTGGAATAGTTTACTTAATGAATAAATAGTAACAAACAAAAATAATAGTCCAGCACCATATACAGAAAGGAAAACGGAAAATTGCAAGGAAAATCGCTTTCTATTTCACCACTAAATATTGCGATTGTCATTTGTTTACAGATATTATATTAATTGTAATTATTTAATAAAAAGTAACTAAAATAAAATTTCTTTGTTAACCTAAGTAGGAACTGACTTAATTTTTTTTTTTTTTTTTACTTGGAAAGAGTAATTATTCATCTTTTTTTCGATTGATGTGTTTTCCCTAATCAAACAACGATAAATTTTTTCCGAGAAGCAACAAGTATTTAAACAGGAGTTAAGAACAGGCAAAAATTAAAAGAAGTTTAAGTAATTTAGGAAGATTTCGATTTACAAAGATCAGATATCCTTTTCCCAACTTTTAAGACATCAGTGAATGATTATAATACAATAAATTTAATGGAAAAAAAATATTTCTGTCCATGAATTACGTATTTCAAATGAATAATTTTTCACAGTATTGTAGGGCAAACAAAGTAAAAAAGAAAAAGATGGTATAAGCTTCAGAAATTTTATGATTGAGAGTATTTAATACAAAAAGTAATATTCGGAAAAGTGTTTTTTTCTTATTAAGTACAAATTTGTGTTTACTCAGGTCCTACTGGTGAAAGTTTCTTGATTAAAATATAACTTCTCAGAATTTTAATAAAATATATATATATTTAATACAAAACAAAATATTTAAGTTCATAAAATTCTGCACCAGCAAATTATTAAATGTTTTTAGTAATTGTCAACTTGCTTTCTTTTACAAGTTTTAACTAACCAAAAATCTTTTGAATCATTCACATTAATCTTTTTTATAATGAAAAAAGATTCTAAAAAAAAGACAATTATAAATAATATTTTGTATAAAACATGTATTTAGTGAGCGAATTTTGTTATGATTCAAATTGCTAACTGGAAAACATTGAAACCAAATCAGAAAAGTCAGGAGCTTGATATAGTCGCATCTTAAATGCAAAACAAAAGAGGGATATTTATTCATTATCTGAGTCTCATTTGGAAGTAATACACGGGGGCTTCTGGTGATGGATAGTGAATTTTTATTTCAGGTCAAGTGACGAGGACGAAAGTTATATAGCAGCACACTCTCCTAACTTCTACATTTTAGCAGTATGAGACCTTGAGCTCCTGCAAACTTCAAGTGTATCGTCTCCAATATACAATGGATTTTAAAAGATATCAGGATTTAAAAAATTGCATGCCTAATCATTAAAGATCATGACCTCCCAATTAAATCATTCACAAAAGAAAGCACAATTTAAATACTTATTTTAACAATTGACTAAATAAAACTAATTGTGACGAAGTTTCCATCAATTTCTTTTTATTTAATTATATCTTAAAAATTAGGTTTGTCAAAAGGAATTCAGCAAAGTTAAGTTTAAAGGTTCATTTTAAAGAAACCAAGATTACTGGAACGAGCTTAAAAAATACATAAAAATATGACAAGTTTTTAAAAACAGGTTCCATTAGTTTTATCACTTACATTTCTAATTTTTTCTCTCAAGATAATCATAAAATTCGAACAATGCAAATGATTTGCATTTAATAAAATATTTTAAATTGTGTGTTTAATAATGATGTCAAATATCTGGAAATTGTTGACGAAGTCAATAATACTAAATGGAACCTAAATAACGTTATATAACAGAATTATCTTGTGAACATAATCTTTTAATGGGCAGTAAACTTCATTGAAATTCAACACAAGCCATCAAGAATCTAAAGCGGGAAAATGAGGCACTCCAGTTAAAGCGTAAAATCTACATAATCCGTTATGGTTAGGCGGGATGGATATTTGACTTCGGCTTTAGTTATGCATCGTAAATACTTTCTATTATCTAAGTAAAAAGAAAAACCCTTAAAAATAAAATAAAAAGCTGGTACTTAAATTTTCTCAAGAGAAGATACTAAAAATTCATCGCAAGTCGTTGTTGACCATACAATATTTCCCTGAAGAGGAGGAAAAATATTGTTTTCTTTGTTTTTCCACGAGTGGTACTTTAATGGATGATTGCTTGGGAACAATACGGCATTTTTGATACATTTCGATAAGGTTATTAAGCTCTCAAAAATATGAAATTAAAAAAAATGAATAGAGCCAGCGATGTGTGAATATTCTATACAGTCGACATAATGTCAATGAACAATGAGAACGATGCTGATGATGCTATTCGAAGTGTTACAAAATAACACATTAGAAAAAACGTTAAAAATAGCTTCCCATAAAATAGTTCTATGACATCTGATTTTTTAAAAATATAAGTATTTCTCATTAAATGCTCAGTTGAAATCGAAACTAAAAATTTTCATAGTTGAAGGAATTAGTTTTAAACTAAGGCTAACTTTAAAAATTCAAGATGGTTCAAAGTATTTTCTGAAATGATATATGAAAATATATTTTTAAAATTGATTAGATGGTTTATTGATGTATTCTAAGAAAACATAAGAACTTTCAGCAATGGATCTCATAGTTTTGAGTAAGCGTTTATTAACGTCACACTATAAAAAATGAATCTATTGGCGACAGACCTCGTAACTTTGAACCATGAGTGAGTGAATATTAACGTCGCACTGTTCAGCCTTAGGCAACGGACCTCGTAATTTTGAACCATGGTCAAGAGATGAGGACGACACCTGAGCTGGCACCCCCCTCTCCTAACTACCACACCAACGGGAGGACGTTTGAGCTCAACAGATTTAACGTGCATCCTTCCTCTACACGGTGGGCCTTCAGTGGCACTGGGCTCGAACTCACGACACGCCGGTCACGAGTCCGTTACCTTGGCCACTAATATTGAACCACAATTAAGCTGCGAGAATGGCATCCTAAACTGGCACTTCACTCTCCTAACTTGAACACTACATCAACGTAAACACTTTGAGCCCCGACAAATTTTATGTGCATCAACCCCTCTGAGGAGGGGTAGTTATTGGCACTAGTGCTCGAAGTGACGACACGCCAGACAGAAATCCATGAACATAGTCAGTAAGCCACCGCGACCACCTCATAATTCTGAACTGTGATCAAGTGACGAGGACGATACCTAAGTTGGTACTCTATTCAAACTTCTGCATTTTGCCAATGTAAAAACTTCGAGCCTCCACAGATTTAACATACATCACACAGTGGCGCACACAAGGGGGTGTTCTGGGGGTCCGGTCACCCCCCCCCAAAGCCCATGAGTTTTTTTCGATTGATGATAATCCTATATATAACAAAATTTAAATTTTTGTAATTAACAATTTATTTTATTAATTTATGCTAATTATTAATTCAATAATTTATTTTTTACTGTTTTTTTGTTATCAAAATCAGAAGAATCAATTGATGTTGTCTTGAGGTATGATACGAGTTGGGGGACTTTCGACCCTCGAAAAATTTTTGAGTGCATTACTGATACATCAGCTTCTCTAACGATGCGTCTTTAGTAGTATGAAGACTTGAACCCACGACTCTCTCTCTGATATAAAACTTAATAAATTAAATCAAACATTTTAATTGTCAGTACTTTAATTTGCCGAATGTACTTTAAGAGACTATTGATACCTTTAAGTAACAAGAACATGTTAAAAACTTTTTAATCAATAGTTAGTAAAATTAAATAAAGTAAAAAAGGAACAAAAATTGCATTTTTATCATTTTTATTTTGCAAAGTCAGTAACAAGAATGCAAGCAGAAAAATTAAGACGAAAAGAGATGAACATTTTAATAGTTATCCTTATTTTCATTATATAAAGACAATTTAACATAAAAGATTAAAAACAGTTCGATCTAATTTATTTTTATCAAGGCACTCTAAAACGTGCAAAAACAGAACTGACTAGGAAAACAAATTAATTTCTCAGAAATTTTTGAACATTAAATAATATTTTTATCACAATGACTTCGTCCGTTCGCAATATAATTATATTACACATAATACATTCTAAATTCAAACTTCAGCCGACGGATTTCCCGATAAAAGATACTTCACTAAATAACTCCTGCTCATAATCTAATGCAATAAAAATACTACATCCTGTAGATGGAAACGCCCGGCAGCTAAGCACGTTGTGCCTAGATTGTATGATAGCCATTCCTGATCAAAATATAGCCCTACGCACTCAAAAACAACCACTCAGCCGATTGACCAACAGGGGGCGAGAATATCGTTTGAACTCGAGTTCGGAAACAAACATTATCTGACAGATGGATCCCTTCCTTCGAAAGTTTTGAACGGATTTATAAGCCCTGAGCACTTTATCGCTGAATCTGTCCGTGTTTGGAGGGATTCACCATGTTACAGAACCTTTATCGGAGATCCGATTATGTCGCCAAATATCAGGTTGACAGCAGGTCCTAATGATCTTTTTTTATTATTATTTTTTATGGTTCCTGATCCTCCTCTTCAACTTCTGTTTCGAGATTGGAAGATAAAAGAAAGCAACCATTAAGACGCGAGACGGTTCAAGAGTGTTTTTAACTTGTTTTAGTTCATTGATTTCTTGTGTCGCGAGTAACCTCTTACAAGGGTCTCAGATTTTAGATCTCCCCGTTATTTTGTCACAAATATATCTCGCAAGTTTTTATTTTTCAGAAAGGGTGTTTTATTCTCTAAGGTCACAACTCAGTAATTGCTCAGTGTGTCTGTATAATTCTAACCTTGGTGAAATATACCAGTTTCGACTCGAGAAAGATATTCCATGTTGAACAGTTTTTATCTCGGTTAACGGAACTAATTATAACTTTTGTGGTTACTCATCTGGAGGATAACGTCTGCATTCTAGCGACACGTTTTTTTTTATTTAAAAACATACTTTCTTCTTGTTAAAACTGTAGCAATAAGCGATTCCATAAAAAAAAGCAGTTTTAATTAATGCTAAACTACAGTTATGCGCAGACTAT